AGTAAAGTACATATATAATACGCTAGAGTAAAAAAGAGTAAAATTCAGATCAGTTCCCATTCAAAAGTCCCAACGCCCTGGGAACGAAAGATTGTTTGTGTCTCTTAGTTTTGGACATAGGAACGTGAACTTGGTGGGTGTTCTTCCTCCTTAAACTGTAACTATGATTGACTTTAGTTGACTGTTGTAATAAATGGTTTAAGTTCTTATTTTTAATAATTCGTTCGATATCTTTCTTTGTGAATTCGTCTCTTCTTTTATCAAGCGGTTCTAAAGTGTCCTTTGGTAAGGCCAAAATCCTCAAACATCGATCCTGCACTGTTTGCAGCTCCATTGCAAGGTATTGTGGTAAACCACCCCAGATAGAGCAAGCGTAGTCAAGTAAGGTCCGGATCTTGGTAGTATAGGTAGTCAGACCAACTTCAACAGGTAAGTGGGCCTTTCTGCACTCTCTCACAAGATGGATACGTTTACTGGCTTTGCTCACGATGTAAGATATGTGGGAGTTCCATTTTAGATCGTCTTGGACTATAACACCCAGCAACTTGAATTCCTCGACTCTCTCCAGTTCCACATTGTTTATACGTAGCGGTGGTGGTTGGTTGCCCGATTTCTTAAAAGAGATCCACATTTCCTTTGTTTTCTTAGCATTGAGTTCCATTTTGTTTTCAGTGGCCCAGCTTTCCAAGTGGTGCATTGCATGGTGCATATGGGTTTCTGTGTCGACTGGCACTAGCTGATACATCGTGCAGTCATCAGCATATTTGCACGTGGTAATTTGTGAATCCCCTTGAATGCCCACCTCGATGTCATTAATATGGACGTTGAAAAGTGTAGGAGATAGTACACCGCCTTGTGGGACACCTGCTACAACATGACCTATTCTGGATGTCACTCCTGGTAGCTTTACTTGTAATGTTCTGTTTGATAGAAAACTCTGTGTCCACCTCCAGAAGTTCCGACTAACGCCCATGTCAGCAAGCTTAGTCAGCAGAATGGCGTGATCGACAAGGTCGAAGGCTTTCCGGAAGTCCACAAACAAGTGCTTCAAAGTTCATGGGTTTCAAAATTGCCAAATATAAATTGAAGTAGTTCGCTTACGATGAATCTTTAAGTTCCCAACAAGGCACAGTTAGCTTGCAGTTTACTGTCACGTTTTCTCCAGAGAAATACGACTCTAAGTTACAACCAACTTGAGCAGTTTTCAAGAGTTGCCGTATCTTACAACTTCGGATACGCTTGAAGAAATAGATTTCAGATACTTTGTTCAGCTTTTCCTTGATAGAATTATTTTGAAGGGCCCCACGTTGGGCGCCAAATGTAACAGTACAGACAGTGCATATCCTCCTGTTCCAGGTTCGGACCCTTCCATCTTAGGTAAAACCGCCCGTTGACCAGTGCTAAGTATTTCTTCACCCCTCTCTGCGATTGACCGGCCTAAAACACCCGCCCCAAATCCCTAAGGACACACTACTCTCCCCAAGCCCCGCACCCACACGGCTACAATTGCATCAAAACTTTTAGTATCAGTTTTTTTTTTTGTTTTTAGTATTTGATAATGTTCATTTAAGTCGTAAAGGTAAAATAAAATTATTACAAGAGTTTAAGGTACTTGGACTGC